AGGTGTTGGAGTCGTCATCTGCCAATCATTTTTTGGCCGTGTTAGAACATTTGCGAGTAAAGCATTGGGATGTGATGCGAGACATGTCACATGTGACATTCATAGGAAATCCGTACAGTGACAATCGAAATATTGACCTTTGGCGTAGCGGTATACACGTATATTGGGATTCAGACCAATTGGTTCGCCGCCCCTGCAAGTGAATCCTGCATTAGTATCGGAAAATTGAGTAATGGAATAGGCTGGCCGACGAGTGGTGAAACGCAATCAGCCCAAAGACGGGGGAGGTGTCTATAGAACGTGCAGGAGTGAGATTTAAGAGGATAGCACCACTCACCAGAGGTGTTTAAGATCCTGGTTCCCCAAGATCGCCTCTCTCAGCCCCGTGCTTTCCCACAGCCGGGCGGCGAGGGTGGGATCGTCTATCTGAAAGCGATCGTTGACGCGCACAGCCTCGCCACGCTTGGGGCGCGAAGGTGTCGTTAGTAAAGGCAGGGTCTTGAGGAAAGCAACGTATTCTCGACATAGTGACCGGGGGAAGAAGGACGAGATGAGTGCGATTTTAGGTGTAGCTGGGTGGAGTTGGATGTCCAAGTCAACCACGGGCAATTCGGGCTTGAAGGTAGGCCAAGATACGGAGAGACCTGACTGGCCGTTTGCTGGTACCGCGGCCTCCTTGGAGGACTTGGTCGCTTTCTTGGGTTTAGCCATGTCTCGTAACGATGGCGAAAGGCAACCAGGGTGTGCTTTTAGGTTCCGATACCCTTCAGCTGAGACTGATCCTCACTAGATTAGGCAAATGAGGCTTTCGGTCAATAGGTTGTTTCCGGCTTTGCAGAGTGATGGCGGTGGCTTAGAAATGGATATCAATGCGATGAGCCCCGCACAAGAAGTGATGTGTGTGTCGCTGCGATCCCAAGTGTCTACCTAGCAGTCCGGGGTAGAAGAGCGAACTTGAAGTACTGTTTACACTGAGACAATGGCTGCATCCCAATCTGCACGAGAAGTTGGAATGGGAATAGTCGATTGTGCAAAAAGGCAAAAACGTTGCTTTTGTGATGCTGACGCAAGATCAGCGGTCGTACAAGAGCCAAGCAATGCCAGCCAGTCAGATGGGCTGGGAGCTGGAAACCCCAATCGGCAAGGAGCGCGCTAGAGGATAAAAGAATGCAGAATGTGAGACAGCAAACAACAACAAGGGAGTTGGTGAATCTGTTGGTTGGGCTATGAATGAATGGGTGTAGCAGTACAGGAGGTTTGAGGCTCGCAAGATGATGGTGGATAGTCCGGGTTTATGCATGAGTACTCCCACTTACAGTGCACCAGGTTTAGCGCATCCACACCAGGCACATTCTGCGCTTTCTCTCGAGGATCTTGTAGGGCCTTCCTTTACCGTAAGGTAGGTAGTTGAGGCAGGCTAGTACCTACCTAGTAATGCAGTGTACCTGGTATGCAAGAGATACAGAGAGTAGCAGGAGAAAGTACTGACATTTCGATCAGAGAGGTTCATCAAGGAAGGTGGCTTCGAGGTACCTGTACCTGCCTCAGGTGCAACGGCCCAACCCATCCACTGGGTTAGGTACTAAGTATCCTGGAGGGTGCTTACGTGATGGCCCGAGATACTGCCGGGGTAGTGATTTTCGCTTGCTTGCACATCTTCTTTTTCATACTGCTCAGCCATCCATGTCTTCATCCTGTTAGAGCTGAGAATCCTTCCTCCCTCGCTGTTGGGGAAAGAATTGATGGATGGCACTTGGAAACTCTGCTGTTGACTTGTCCAATTGGCGCTCTAGCCCCCAACCACTACCGTCACCCCTGGCCATGTCACAATCCATCGCTCCATCCCAAGATGAACGGCCAGTAGCCTCACCATACCTGCGCCCTGCGAAACAGTTTGGGCTCTTGCTTGCGGGAACAGGTCTCCTCGCTGCATCAATTGCCGTCGCCAGACGCTCCGTTGTGCGGAGAAGACTAACCACATTCCCGTCTTTTTACACATCGAACCGCGCCCCTCCCAATTTTGATGCTTCAGACAGGCAGTTGTTGGCTGTGCACGCATTGGGACTTGCCACACTCAATGTAATGAGCTTCGGGGTAATGCTGGTTGGCGGCATTTCTTGGGCTTTTGATATATCCTCTATCGAGGAATTGGGACAGCGCACTCGAACCGCCATGCGCAGGCCAACCTATATAAGCGCCGAGGATGAGAAAGAGGCAGAGCGCGAAATGGAGAAGATGATGGAAAACCTCATGGACAAATTCGGCCTCAAGAAACCAGAGAATGAGGCTACAGGAGAACCCCCGGCGGATAATGGTGGCCGGCAATGACAGAACAATCACCCCGTTATATGGGGTCTGACACCACCCTCAACACTTTGTACACTACATGCATGCAGCTATTACTGGAACGGCCTGCAGTTCTTCCCCGCCTCTTGCATCTTGGTATTTTCTATCCATCTAGACCTGGTCAAGGCTGGTCTTGGCCAAAACACCCACCTAGCTGTGCGGACTGTAGGCCTGAGCCTGACCCTACCTGACATGGGAGGCAGCTGAAGCAGTCCTCGGTGGGCAGCGCTCTCAGCCAGTAGATTGCAATGTAAGGCTTCTCCTCTCCTGCCAATCACATGGACCACCAGTAGTATTACCACCTCACCAGTGTGATAGTCCGGTTGCCACGCATAAGTCCCGTTCCCCCCTCTGAATTACATACATCTGCGGCATGTGTCTCTCTTGCGCCCGAGCATGTACTAAGTAGTACCACTCTTCCGTGACCTTTCCTTTCTTTTTGCCGCTTCTTGCTTTTGGAGCCATTTTCTCTCACTCCAATCAACACTCGGCACGCTTGGGATGCATGCCACTGGGATACAGCAACCCCCTTATCGTGGCCAAGATATTGTTACCCGGAGCCGTCTCTGGGTCGTCATGATGACGGTAACCTCTGAGCCACTATTTCTGGCCGGGAAGCGGAAAAAGCAAGGTGCAGCGTCCTGCAAACACACCATACGCACGGAGACCCGACCAGCCCTACTCTGAAGGATGCCTGCCGCAGCATGCATTGATAGTTCGTGTCGAGAGGACCAAAGTAGACTAAAGGGGGCTTTAGATCGGGGTCGATCACTGAAATCGGTCAATGCGCATTGGGCTCCTTCTGGGAGATGGCAGGCAGCCAGGCGGTTGAAATGTCTCAGAACGCGGGCAACTTGATCAATAGGCATGGCAAGTAGTCACATCGGCCCACCATGCAAACGACCTGTTCTATGTTGTGGCGGGCTGACTGATGTGGTGGCGTCTGTGCATTGCACTGCATCTTGAGCCCAAGCCGTTGGCCAACGAGATATGTTCAATTTATAAGTATCAAAGAGGGGAAGTAGGGAGCTTGCCGATATTTATTCATTCTCATCTCTTGTGCACAAGCTGTCTGTCCACCGATCAGTTCACCCACGCCACACGCACCGATGATGCGAGAAGTTCAATACAACCCTCAAGGGGCTGTATGGAAATACACGTACGCCGAGGGCTCTGAGTCTGGCCGAGTTTTCTTCCACTCCCCTCAGCGCCACTGGAGCGACCAGCGTGCCTCTCTTGTTCTACGACAGGTCAATTCGACAGATGAGAACAAGGTGTGGATCAACACAGATCCCTCCCTCGTCGTCAGATGCGACGAGCTCAACCCATTTCCGACCCCAGCAGATGCCCACGGCGTCATTGTTTGCAGCGGGCTGGCCAGATCTTTGTCTCCATCGGGCAGACAGGTCACACATCATCGTGGGGAGCGAATCTGGGTCGAACACAGTCTCGACCCTGAATGCGGACCCAACGGGCTTATTCCAGTCATAAGCCTGGATACCCTGGAACACTTTGAAATCCCCTACCGACATATCTGCTTTGTGGCCCAGGTCACCCGTTTCGATGCTTTTGGGAGTCAGTATTATGGAACTCCAGTAGGCCCAGCTCGCAACCCCCAATCCATCGAGCCGCAGCAGCATCAGTCCCAACAGCAACCACAACGCAGTCAGGCCTACGTCGAATGGCCGGCCTCGAAGCCGCAACTGGCCCTGTTCCAGTGGCACCCGTGCCATTCCGACACGGGCGAAGATACAAGCCCTTCACACCACGGCCTTCAGCTCCTAGAATCCGTGGAGGAACGCCGCCGTCTTTTTCAAACAAATTGGGCTGTCGTCAGCCAACATCTGCGAGCTCCTACCCCACCAAGCGAGGAAAACGATGCAATTTCCCTCTCAAGGTCATCTGCACAGGCTGATACGCAGAATGTTCGCAAGAAACGCAAGGAATCTCAGTCCAGCCCGGGCCCAGTTAGCTGGGTTCGTTATGCACGCATGCAGGACAATTTGGAGCACGGAGACCAACCCTGGTAACGCAGTGTACCTACATAGTTTCTGGTTCCGGAGAATGGAAATAGTCGTATTTCAATTGACAGTTGTTGAGAAACCCAATCTCCCCGTCTTGCAACATTGTGTGAATGGATTTGGCCATAAGGCATCTGCCGCCTTTCCAGTATAGGGGCCATTGGGATCACTACATGTCCTCTGGAACAGTACCACTGATGTGCGGAACGTCTGGTATCATGGCTTTATCCGGTGGAGGTGACCAAAGTGTGCAACATCAAAAGTGGCAGGTAAAGGGGTCTTAGTCCTCTCATGGGGTTGTGCCCTTGATTCGAAGCGGCTACAAAGGAACGGAGACCTCATTGTGCAGTGATTATCCGATTCAGTGTAAGATGGACTATATGTATTCATCAAACCACTCCTCGGGAAGTAATAATACAACTCGCTCATCAAGTAATAAACAAGAAAAATATGCAAACTATCATAAAGACGTTTGGTTTATCAGCATTTCTTCTTTTGCCTGCCCATGTGTCCTGTGTCCCGCAGTGACCATCTTTTGATCTTTTCTGTTCTTGATTTTGTATCATCTCAGAGAAGGAAAAGGGGGTGGGGGTTTCTACGCCACTCGCCCTCTGAGCTGTTTAATTGTATTCTTCACGATGATGATGCCTGTGCCCTCAGGGCCGCTCTCCTCATCTCCTGCATGTTCTCCAGGCTTCCCCTGCGACCCCAGTTCCTGGGCTGCCTCTTGAGGAAGGCGCCGACGCTCCCGAGGTACCCCTCGTGGCGGAGGAAGTACGCCTGCTTCTCGCCCTTGCTCCAGAACTTTATGGCGTAGCTGAGGGTGTTCATGGTCTGCCGGTGGCCGCGGATGAAGGAGCCGCCAAAGTAGATGTTGGAGAGGTTGTGGATCTGGGACTGGAGGTAGGCGATCTGGCCGATGTTGTTGGAGATGGCGTACAGGAGGGAGCGGGAGATGTCCGGGCCGGTGAAGGGGGCGTTGGAGGGGATGTACTGCGAGTCCGAGGAGGAGTAGTGCTGCAGGCCGTCGGGCCCAACCTTGGCGGGGTCGCGGCGGGCGGGACCGAGGTCTTCGGCCTCGGCCTCTGCCTCGCGCTTCATGCGGAAGACCTTGCCGAAGGACGATGCGATGGTGGTGCTCTTGAGGCCGATCTTACCGTAGTCGCCGCCGTAGATATCGCCGACGAGCATATCGACGTTTGTGTTGTCTCCGTGCTCTGCCTGGGCAAGCATGTCGTCGAAGGATCGTGCGCCGGTCAGCAGGGAGAGCAGGCCCCAGAGGGTACCGCCACCGAGCGAGGTGCCGCCAACACGCTGGAAGGACCGCGGGCCTGTGACCTTGAGCATGGAGACGCCGGAGCCGATGTTGACGAGAAGGTAAGGATATATGTCCTCTCGGGGCGGGACGAAGTGCATTGGGTCGGTGTCGGAGTAGGTGAATACCTCGCGGGGTATCTCGGTGATGAAGAAATCGAGGCCTGGTGGGAAGCTGGTCAGTGTCCGGCTCTTCAATCACAGACATTGCGTCCTTACCAATCATCAAGCACTCCATCTCCTCCTCGCGCAGCACATCTACACCAAGCGCTTCGCGAATCTTGTCGTAGAACTTGTACGCCCCACCTCCCGTAGCCATGACGCACAGCTCCCCCGGATGCGACCCGTTGCCCATGAGCTCGGTGTCGCGCAAGTGCTTCATAAACTCGACGCAGTCGTCGATCCTGTCGGTCTCGAAGTTCTGGAAGTTGAGGCGACCGCCGGCATCGGTGGAATCAACCTCGCGCGAGAAGTACACTAGCTTGATCAGCGAGCCACCAATCTATTTGCGCCGGTCCATGTCAGTAAGCTCGTATTCCTCTGGAACTTGACACATCTGTCAACCAACATACATCAATGGCAATGTGGCTGACTACGGCTGTGTGGTTCGGTAAGCGGATGTCGCTCGTCTCGTGATGTGTCGGGCTGTGGCGGCCGCCATTGCTGAGGGCGGGCGTGGCTGTATCTGGGTCGACGATGAAGGCGCCCTTGACGTTGATCTTGACGCTGCCGGGCCGGATGATGGTATTATTGATCTCGTCAGTCGAGGTCGTTAGCCGAGGCTTGCCAGGCTGCTGGTCCACGGCCGTATCGCCATTGGGGATCCGGGCATCCGCGGCGGCCGTTGCCATGTTGGCGGTATCGGCGCGCGCGGGCTGGAGCTGCTGCAACAAGAGGTGCAGCAAAGGCTGCGATGTTGAAGCTGGTGGGGGTCGGGCTCGGTCAATGCGGAGTTGGTTTGCTGGAATAGTAAGATGGAGGAGGCGGATGGGTAGACTGTAGGATAACGAGGCTATCTGAGCAATGTTCAGCTGTCTTTCGAGGATAGAGATAAATGCGATGAGGAGGAGGGAAGTGGTCTGTCAATGGGTTGATGAGGAGCTGGAAACGTCCATTAAGTCTCGTGTTAGCGGGCTAAAAGTCACCGGGATAGGCTCAATGCCGCCGCCGGTCTTATCGATAAGCCGTGTCTGCCCGTTTGGCCGAGGCTCCCAGAGAGACAGCCGAATGAACAAGGAAACGCGTTTGCTTTTCCTTCTTAGGTAGATACTGGAAGCTGTCTCCATGTAACTTTATTGATTTTATACTTTTCCGACCCAAACCGTGTTCAACTCCATCCCTGTAGGCCAATGTGGCCTTCAATGGCACATCATTAAGCTCTGCATATCCCTCAGATTATAGATAAATTCAAAAAAATATAACATTTGCCCCCCCCCCTCTTACTTTATTTTATTTTAGCCCAAGCCCAGTACGTGATCATCAATACCTCTCAATGGTTGTTCGGAAATAACACCCTCAGCTATTTTAGACGGATATCAAAAAAAGAGTTGAAAAGGACGAGAGAACAAAAAAGAAGGGCATGGCGGACAGAATCGATCGCAACATCTCTTCCGTCGCCTTTGATATACCCAGTCCTGTAATTAAAACCCCATACGCCCCCTCCCACTTGGCATCATTGTGACTCAACGTCGTCTCATTTAGAAGAAGTTGCCTCCGGGAACAGCGACAAAGATGGCAGTGAAGACCCCGCTAAGAAGAAGAGCGGCCAGCATGGCCTGCACAAAAATGGTATCTTGAATCTGACGGAGAGCAGGCTCCTCGATCCAGATCTCCCGGTCAAAGATCTTGCGGACAATGTTGCGCTTCTCATACTTGACCACCCAAGGCTCCTCCTCGTAGCTGTTGGTGGACCCGAACGAGTCCATGCTGCGGTTGCCCTTGATCTCCTCAATGTCGTCTCCCTGCTCGAAAAGCTCCCATGGGCGGACGTGGTGGTGGTGCATGCCGTGCAGCACGACGCACATGCCCTTGTAGGCCGCCACAAGGGTGCTGATGCCCAAGACCCACGCGATGGCTGCCAGAGCGCGGTAGCCTCTCCCCATGTTGCTGAGGGTCAAGACAAAGGCCATGACGAAGCCGATGAGGATCAGGCCGACCCCGAGAGATCGAGCAAAGAACACTCGGGCGGGGTTGCCGTTGCAGATGGACCAACGGACGAAGTTGGGGTGGGCTTGGCGGCGCAAGGAGGACTCGACTGTCTTGATCAGGCCTCGGAGGGCAGATGGGTGGGTGGTGTAGGCCATGGCCTGAACAGCGGCCTTTTGCTCCCAAGAGGCGAGGTTGAGTTGCCGAGGGGCACCATCCATGATGTAGGTGGCGATGACACGGTTGATCTCCTCACGGTATGGCTGGATGGTAACTAAGCAGCAGAAGTCAGCATCTTGAGACGTAATCAGTTATTCTCAACGGCATTGAGGGGTAGAACATACAAGGCTGCTTCAATCCAGCGGAGTGGAATGCCTCAGCAGCCTGCTGCTGTTGTGAAGAATTCGAGGTGGAGACAGTGTGCTGCACGGAGGCGGCGTCATTATCCATGGACTTGGATGGAGGAGTGGCGAACGGGTCGGCATCATTGTTCCCTTTCGGGAGAGGCAGGTCTTGAGCTTGCTTCTCAAAGTCGGTGCCCTGGAAGATTTTGGCAGCGTCGGCCTCGGGGCGCATCTTGTCAACGTTATCCTTGCGAATCTTGGCGACGGCCTCGTCCTGCATAGCCTGAGTCCACTCCGGGGCTAGAGAAATGTCGCTTGTGGTGGCGGACCCGAATCGCTTCTTGTAGTTGCGATACCAGAGGAAGAACTGGAGGTTCTCGGCGGCATGTTCAACATAAACCAGGTAGTTCATGAAATCTCGGACAGTCATGGGCTTCAAGCGAGATACGCCGTGTTAGTTTTGGCATCAGTCGATATGTGCTACGGAGAAGAACGGCTCACAGGACAGGTGCCACCGCTGATGATCTTGTCAAAGCTCAGTGATTCCGGGATACCACTGGAACTGCCAGAGGTGCCAGACTTGACTGAACCATCACTAGGGCTGGTGTCATCACTTGCCGTTGAGGGGCGAGATGAACTGGCAAGTGAGCTAGAAGAGACGTGCTTTGGGCGCGTGTAAGTTAGAGGAAGGAGCCCCATGGTGATGACGGCAGTAGAGCAATTGTCAAGAGACTGGAAGATAGAAGAGAATGAGATGGGAAAATCTGGTGAACTGGAAGCAATGAGTGTTGATGGAGGAGACGATAGGAAGGACGATTCCAATGAGTGTGGACGAGTAGGTCAGTCTACTTGTTTGTTTACTTGTTAGGGAAAGTGGAAGTACATGAGATTTTAAGACAAGTGCTTCAAGCTCTCGATACGAGCTAAATACCAGCCAAGACAAGGGAGGAAAGCAAACGGGGAGCGACAGATATATACGTTGGAATGTCGGGGAAGTGGGAAACGTGGGAGCAGGGACAAGAGACACCACATGACAAGGGCAAATGGATCCATTATCGAGACCAGGTGTGGGATCGTTCAGGTCAGGAATAGACGCACCACGTACGCACATGTGCGTTAGTCGCCAGATAGACACCTTGTAGTGCCATGTAGGGATGGACGCCCAGATGCTCCCCACGCAGGGCAAGCTGGGATTTCCCGATCAGATCCGGGTCCAGGACTCGAGCTGGCTAGAATTTCGGGCTGGTGCAAAAGAGATGAACAAATCAAACGAACCGCAAGCACCGTGCAACGGGTGTTGTCTCTGACCCTCTCCTTCTCGCTCTCTCTTTTCCTCCTCGGCGCAAGGGGAAACACCGTCTGAGCATCAAAGCACACTTAAGTAGGTACCTTCTCGATGACATCCCCATCTCATACCACGTATAACCTAAATATCAATATTGGTGACATCGAAAAGTCTAAATCCAGGAGGATCACCCATCACGCTCGAAGCCACAGGTCCAAGGACACGGGTATGCAAGGGATCGCCCTGGTTCTTCGTTACAACAAGTGGAGTCCGTCACTGGCTGTGCTTCTGGTTGGCTAATCAAGGTCGATCAATCGAGATAGGCGTCCGTGTGGGATGGTGGATTCCGCGGATCCGGGACTTGGTAACTGACGAATGGATGCGCAGTCAACCAGCGCCAGGCTCGGATGGAGGGAGGTACTTGCGCAATTACTCGTGGCCTCTGTTGAGTCAGTCGCGAGCACTACTGCTCAGCTAAAAGAAAGGAACTTTGCAGGTGGCGCTCGTAACCACCTACGCAGCCAGCCGCCGGGCGATGAGAAACAAGGCTCGGCTGCCCGTTACATTGTTTCGCAATGGGACAGCATGGCATAGCATCAACAGGCATGGCATGGCCAGACCCGCCAATGATCGGGACCCCGGGATCATTTTCACCTGAGCACAGATCTCCGAGCCAGGCCCACAGCCAGACGAGCGAAGAGTCATGGATCCTGGTCTGGCCAGAAGTGGCGCCAAGCGTCGTTTGTGATAGGTAGGCTAGTGCATGTTGAGCAAGATGGAAATATGAATTTTCAGCTTGCCCAGGTACGCGACAAGATGGGCCCGCTGGTCCAGAGATGAAAAAGAAAAAGAGAAAAAAATGGGCACGCTCGGATGGCTTGGGGACGTTGTTTGGGTGTGCCGGGCATCGTCCAATGAGATTTGACAAGTCAAGCCCGGTGTGATGAGAACACACACCGGCGACTTGATTGGCACGCCGGCCAGCCACAACGAGGGAGAGTTGCATTGAGATATCCCGCACCATCAATCAAGATTCACAGTTGGGGGAAATCGACGAGGTGCGAGCGAGGGCCATGCAAGTTCTCGGATTTTGTCCAGCACCGTGAATGCTCCTGCCTTCTCCAAGCTGGTAGCTCGTGCCGCAATGCGCTCAAGCCCCAGAGTACAAGCAACCACTAAACTCAGTTGCGGTTGAGCGCTTGCGAGGCACCGGCCAATAGAAACCCTGGCTCGAGTCCTAACCGGGTTAGATCTGTGCTGAGTGCGCACCGCTGCATCCACTAGACCATCCTACGGACCCCTAAGATCCCCTAATCCCCCTGAGCCACCGTTCTGCTGGGGCCTTTGTCTTGGTATGTCTCAATAGTACAATGCACCGACGCAGATTTATCTGTTTATTCCGTGCTTCTAGACCGCTCACAATGAGATTGAACGCTCGCATTCTTTCTTTTTCCCTACTTGCGCCACGAAGAAACTACGTATCACATGTACGCAATCGACGCAAAAAATGAGTCGAATAAAAAGCAAGTATACCCACATACCAGGTGCCTCTTACCCTCCCATATCTCCTTGGAGCAACGAAAGCAACAGTTTGTACCTTGTAGCGGTATGTATAACAGAAAGTATGAATCTTACTAGAATTCTCAACGTCCGCCGTTTGATGAAGTGCTGGTGTGCTACATGAATATCGTTTACTGGCCTCATGTTCGGGGCTTGGAGTAATATAGCATGGTTCATCTTCCGCTGGCCGTTGGTACGCTTCCGCCGACGAAACTTCTCCTCCATCCACTAGTTTGCTTTAATATGTTCGGTGATTCCGTCGGTCGAATCAGCATTCGGTATAGCCTCGCCGAGTACGAAGAGTTCACCGTTAGTGCAGTTAGTCCTACATATCTTGGCCTTGTCAAGCGGTGATTGGTCCTCGCCGAGTGGGAAGAGCCTCGACTGGAAGCTGCGGATGCGGTAGCTGGACTGGATCGTGGGAAGGAAATCTTTTCATCTAATAGGTTCTTGGTAGGTACTATATATAGGAGGATGGGATGATGATAAGTGTCTGCAGTCGACCTGGTCGATGAAAGAAGGTGCCTTCTTGATAATTTTGTCACTCACAAATTCTACGATTGCGTCTATAGTACATAAACGCTTCATCTATTACCTAACATAACCCGGCATTTTGCTCGGAAGCGTAGGTAGGGAATGGGAGGAACCAGTATGGAAACTTAAGAAAAATAAGACACCAAATGTCCAGTCGCAAGATGTTTTTGGGGGCCGTGACAAGTATTTTCACTATATTGCAGCATAATAGTGAACAAATAAGCAGATAATACACGCAGTATCATCGAATTCAATCATTATGATTATTGCGGGATCCGCCATTTGGAAGGCGTTAGGTGTCTGCGTCCATGTTACATACGCAACTGCAATGACGCATGAGGCTGCTATCTATCTTGGTATGGTCTATGGAGGCTCCGCTGCGAGGGAGATTCATAGCTCTTATATGTTTGTATATTGGATATCAACCAGGTGCACAAGAATGCACTACACTTTGCCTTCAGCTACAGAGGTGACTGCCCTGCCTTTCTGGGCCCCTTCATTGATACGCTTCCGCCCAAGAAAATCCCCAAGTCACCCACCAATCTACTTAACATACTGGGTGATTCCATCAGTTGAGTCGACATCCGGGATAGCCTTTCCGAACGCAATAAGTTCGCGTCTGCAGTGCGAGTCAGTGCTAAGTCTCAAGCCTTGAAAACGTTTGTGAGCTGGCATACCCGGCCATGACCTTGATCCCTCGGCTGGTATCCATGAAATGCGCGCAGTCTGTCGACAGCGATGAGTATTCCGGTGACGCGAAGAAGGCTTCGGCGTCCTCCCATTTCTGGAACCAGAGCGCTGAGCAGCCGTCGTAGTCAAAGACATCCATGCCTAGAGCCTTGGCCCTCGTCTTCATTTCTGGGGTTTGGTGTAGCTGGACAGCGTAGATAAGTACAAGCCCCATTGCTTTCTCGTCATTTAGACACTCACTTGCGTGTATCTTTGGACCTTATGGGCCCCGAAACTGCGAGCGGCCACTGTAATGTCGGAGTGAATGTGGGCATAATGCTTGTGAAAATGCTCCGATGAGACATCGGGCAGCTTATAGAAGAAGAACTCGAGTTTAATACATGCTATCATGCGTGTCTTGTTAGTTTCCCTTCCAGCAACGTGATCATTTTCCAGTTTGAGCTGCTCGCTGCCTACGCTGAAAGTTTTCAGGGGTGTCGTAATCAAAAAGCTCAAAGTTGAATTTGTGATCGATCCGTTGGTGGCCAGTGGCCCTATCACCAGAGACACCCGCCATCACTTGGATTGTTGCGACAGATTTGGTGTTGAAGGCTTATGGTTGAAGTTGTCAGTGCCTGCCTCCTCGGCTGGAGTCGATATTCTCATCTCATCCTGCTCGGCCAGTATTGACCCCATGATTTAAATAATTTCACCTATGATAGCGGGCAGTCAATGTAGACAAGGGCTCGTTGGCTTCAGTGCCAAGATATTTCTCCGATCAACCCTTTCGTGGATGAGCTTAGCCGAAGTGGCGGTACGCCGGGGAGCTTGACCGGAGTCGCCGTGCCTTGCCGTCGCCTGAAAGTCGATAGAATGAGGAGAGTCTCGGCGAGCGGCTTAGTCCTCGAATATGGTTCGGCCTGAGAATCAGCATTGAGGTGAAGCTTGACTGAACTGGATAGTTCGTTCATCTAGCACCCTTTAACTTGGCTGCGATGATGCCCTTTCGATTTAGAGTATCTCTAATGATTCTCTACCCTTATTGACGCATCCATGTTGGTAAGCTTTATTATTGTACGATTGCTATAATAGGGCTTTTCACTTTCGTTTCCCTTTGTTCCCAGGTCAATTACCATAACAAGCACATCATATATCAGGAAACGTAATGGTCACATCTTTTGAGATGCTGAACAATTATTTCGCTGCTATAAGGGGAGCGCTTTCTAAAATACAACGACCTGGCGACACTTTGCCTTTCCACCTTGCATATCTGCTACCATCTGAGGAAGTTCCTCAAGAGTCCTAAACTCGACAGCCGGCTGAATGTTGTGCTTGGCGGTAAACTCCACAGCCTTGGCCATCCGCTGCGGGATGCTCGTGCTGTCAGCCTTGATACGATACCGACCAGTGGTTAGGTCAAAGGTGGACACGGAGATGGGCTGTGAAGAGATGCCGATCACCATGAGCAGCCCGCCGATTCGCAGCAGCTGAGGCGCAGAGGCATATGCAGCTGCCGCCCCAGAGAAGACGGCAGCGGCGTAGCAGCCCTTTCCGGTGAGCTTCTTGACTTCCTCGGCAAGATTGGGCGTTTTGATAGAATTGAAGACCGCGTCTGCTCCAAGCTCCTTGACCGACTGAAGCACGTCGTCGT